AAACGATAAAACTTCTGGGACATCACTCCATTAATACTGCCGTTGCTGAAAAGCGTTAAAGAATCGCGAAAAGGAGATCTACAAGATAATGCGAGGGAGAGGGGGACAAAGTATGACTAGCATATCTCACCGAAAAATGAAAAAACGTAGAAAAACCTATAGCCGTATCATCAATAAACGCATAGATCCCAAAATTACAAAAAAAAAGTGAGCTGTCTCTCTAAATAACCTATGCCCCGATCATTTGCCGAGTGAACATGTCGATTATAAAATCTCAGAAAAACAGTTCTCCCGCCCCCCCAATGACTTGACCCTGGATAACGGTGAGGTAGAAGAGGCAGCAAAAAAAGGTTTTATAAAAATCAGTTAAATAGCGGTCATCAGATGGAGGACTGTAGATCTTCCAGTGAAGATCCTTATTCATTGCTGATAAAATTACAACTTGCATTTGTACTCGACAGGATACAGAATACGGGAATATATTTAGACACACACACACACACACATCAGCTTATGGACGAACTCGCGCAGAAGCACAAGTCGCATAATGAAGAGAAATGTTCGCGCACCGACTCCCCTTCAACATCACCTTTCGCACACCGAAGGGCTGGAGAAAATGCGCGATTTTTTTTTCTTTTTTTGGTACAAAGCATGCCACAAATGCCAAGCATTTAGGTAGATGTGGCCGATTTGTCAGCTGTCAGATTCCTGAATCAATCATCATTTGACCGCTTAACCTACGTTCTTATATAACAATTTTTAGCAAAAGGAATGCCAGGCATTGGATATTTCTTTCCGGACGAACCAAAAAAGTACGAAAATGAACAACAGAAATACTAACAGCATGCTGACCAACGGGAAAGGCAACTTTGGTCTCAAAAATTTGTGGGTATGATTCTACGATGCACTGCCACAAAGATGCGAAGACAGTTATTTGAAACACTGTAAAAAAACCAAAAATATGCACGGAGAGCAAATGAAGCAGTACAGGAAAGAAGCAGAACGGCCCAAAACCGAATCGCAACAAGATCTCCCAATTCCCAGTGATTTTCCCCTCCCAATATGATGAGAATGTGATTTTGTTGTAAATTTTAGTGTCTGTTTCAACGTGTTCTTCGTGTGTAGCCGTGGTGCTGTGTTTCCTCCCCGGACCAGCCATCTAGAATTTCAACTGTATTTTTGATGTTTTGTTTGATGAAGTTGTGCTGGTTCGCCCAAAGTCTCCGACAGGAACAGCCATCGTCAGCGTCGCCCAGTTTCGTCCGTCTTCAAGCCAAAATCGTCATCCAAGCTATGTGTAACAACTACATAAATATGGTTTACTCTGGCATGGGGAAGGGACATTTTAATTAAATCGAAAAAAAAATAATTGAATGGAGAGCGGCGTGCTTCGAAAATGTGAAACAGTGATCCCCAAGCAGTTATACTAGTACTAAAACCAATATTTCCAAACGAAGAAATGCCAAAATCTGCTACGTAAAATTTTAAGATGGAAGGCACAAGAATTATAAAGTTACATATTTAGTAGATCCCCTCCAAATCTATGTTATAAATTCATATTTAATAGATCCTCTACATCCCCTCCGAATAAATATCTCTATGTTTTTTCTTGTTTTTTCGAACAGAGTGTTTTCAAATACAGCTTTCTTACTTTTAGTGCATTTCAGTAACTCCTTTCCCCTCGCCTCCCCTTCCCCAGAATTGCTTGCCCCTTAGCCTCACAATCGATCTACTTTTTTACCTGAGCTCTGCTAATTTTTGACTAAATTTGTCTCATTCTGGCTTATTTTCTTGCACTTTTGGCTGAAATTCTCATTTCTTCATTTTTGCCCACATACGCCTTCATAATTCGAGCCAATGCTAAATACGGATAAATACATTAAATTAAAGCTGACCACAGCTGATCTCCATGAAAATGCAGGAAGTGAACGCCAGCACCTTTCATGCCATTCGCAAGCATTTCCATCGAGGACATCAGCGAATATCCAATAGCAAGAGGGCCTTAAACCATAAAATATTATAGCACCGATCTATGAACAATAGCAGATAAATTCTTCTAAGTGTTAAAAAAAAAAACTGAAAATAGCGATTAAAAAGAG